GAGAGAGAGAGGGAGGGATAGAGAAAGAGATGGAGAAGAATTTACCTGTATATCGGCGCGTCCGCCTCCTCCTTGTACCAAATAACTAGGTGCAGCTTGTCCCCCGGGAGCGGCGGTTTCACGTCGCACGGTAGCTGAGCAATTCCGCCTGCCACTGTTTCCGCATCTGTCATTGTCACTGTAATGACAAAGTCGGGGTGGAGAGTCAGCCAAGATCATATAACCGGAAAAACGTGGTCGGAATGCACGCGATCCCGAGAAGCGCGGCTAATCTGCCGCCGTATTAATGGCTAGATTCGCACCCGGTGATTTCACTGCCGCGGTCCGCACGGCGGAGTTTAATCCACGACGACGACGACAACGTCGCGTTCTCGAGTTCACGGGATCATTCGAGCGCGCGCTTTCTAAGCCGAGGATCTCCTCGAAAGGTATCCTCGATATATCTCGCCAGACTGTATCTTCCGTTCGCGAATCACAAGGGAGCGTCCCAGAAGCGAACATCTCTTTTCGCTTCAAATCGGCATACATTCGTGGAGCGTGCAAAAATGTGAGAGACATATTTCTTTGTTTTGCTGATAAACGATTGGAAGAGATGAAACATCCTTTCAAAGTTTATCGGCTAAAGAATCTTTCCTTCGCAATAAAATCTGCATCATCTCACCGAAATATGCTTTCGACAAAATTTATTTTATTTCTGAAATAAAATTATATGCTAATAAAAAGCCAATATTTAAAGAAAAAAATATTTTTATTCAACTTTTTTATAAGCATATATTGATAGAATTTTCTCTTCTGCAAACTTTTTTATTATCGTAAACTGTGGGTTAAAATGCAAGAAACTATGATCAAAGAAATTAGAACAAAGAATAGTAAAAGAAGAAAAGTTTAAATTGAACTGTGACTTAATCACAGTTTGAAACTCAAATTTGAAACTCGATATTTAAATTTCGATAATCACTCGTGATTTGTCAAAATTTTAATTATCAGAAAATTAAAGTCACACATTTGCGATAATTTTATGTTGAAAAAGTCGCGCTTGTTATTTAAAACTTATACGATTTTAAACATAAAGTCAAGATATAAATTAATTGATATATATTGACATGTGATTGCAATTAATAATCGTAGCATTGATCATCACACTAATCATCAAACAAAAGACAAAGCGCAACTTCTGTCCAGCAGCATTGATTACAATAACAATGGGACAATAATTTCCATGGAAATGCAGTGCGCGTTTGAGGATTGAGAAAGATAATGCAATTAAGATCGTTAATCAAATGTAATTATACCAATTAATCATGATACTTTAATAGCGAAGCCAAGACGTGGTCTGAATATATAATTGTGACCAATAATTAAATTCAAACAGAAAGCAGATATTATGCTCGATACAGCAGCAGATTCGCTGTGACATGAAATATTTTGCGACATTGCGTTTCAAAGGCTTTAATTATGTATATTATTTTGTAAAAGCTGCAGTTGCTTTGCGTGAAATGTACATAAATCTTTTTGAAATAAATTTTGAAAAATATAGCACATAAACTATCTATCGAAAAAAAAGAGGCATTTTATACGAATATAATTCAATATATAATTCAAGTAAAATGCGTATATGTATTTTTTTAATCTTCGAACAAAATGATCATTGTTCCTTTGTTCTCATCATTGTTCCTTTGAATGCAATCCGAATATCGCTGAAATTCTGCCGAAAATGTTTAATGATCCGCATGTTCAGTAGCGGGTGCTCACAGTACCTCTCGAACAGTGGCCACGGCATCTGGTTATAATTAATGTACGATCAATTAATTTTGTCCCTTGTTTTACGCCGTCAACGACAAATTTACCGGATCATCGTCGCGCGGCCAACGAATTTACGCGTTTTATCGTGCGTCCATAAAGCCGAATGCACGCGAATCTATTTGGAGCTTTCGTAATTGGTGGCCGATATGACGCGGATGAAATTGCAGCGATAATTGGCGCTCACGAGTCTCGTTGGGCGAGTATAATCGTACAATCACCTACTCGAATACATGTATCGAGCCTGGCAGAGAGTTCCTTCCAAAATTGACAAATGTGTGCGGAGTCTAACACAACGATCCGTGTTCTCGCCGCACATTTAGCGCAAAATGATGCGTTTTCTTTTTTGCTCTGTTATATTTATCGAACATGGAGAACGCATTAAACGTACATATCGGAATGAGTATAAAACATGAGACGCTAATGTGCGCGTCGTGCGCATTCAGGTCATGCATTTTGCACATTTTTTCCTTAATTTTGCATTAAATTACGTTTTTTTACCGCATACGCTACGTTATTTTGCGTTATAAAAAACGTATAAAGAAAAAAACTGTTGATATGAGTTCATTTTTGCAATATTAGATTTTGATGTGTTCCAGTCTCGTCAAGGCAAAACATGATTGCATTAAAACATGATATAACAGAAAATAAAAAGAAGACACAGATTTTATATCTCTATGGAAAAGAGAGAAAGAACTTGACAAATTCGCATATGTAAATCAAAAACTAATAAACTATCCCAGCTTTTCTCTTATGATATTCACTGGATGTGCCAAGCAAGCTGCCAACCCAGCCGTCCCTCCTTTCTGTCGCCGGTGTTTTATATCTCTATTTTTTTAAACGTGATATCCAGGGCGACATTTCGAAGCAACGACATCGGCAAGCTATTTATTGCAAACGCTCGCCCGAACTCGCGGAATCGCGATCTCCATTTTAAATGTAATCCCGCGAAAGTACACCGCCGCGGCCGGGTATCGATAATGGTAACTGTAATCAAGCCGGAAGATGAAATTCGGCCGATCAATTTTGAGGATGGCTGTATTAATAAAATCGATGCCGCGGTCGCGGCGCGCTTGTGACATTTCCCGAACCGGGAGATTTTTTTAAATTGAATTTTTATCCCTTTTTTTGTGGCTTTCGACAGTGCAACGCGGTCGCATTTGAATACATAATTGGCAGCTTTTTTCCGCTTCTCTTTCTCTCCCCCCCCCCCTCCCTGTTCGATTTGACTATCTCGCCGCTTTATGTCTTACGTTTGTGTATTTCCTCTTTCAACCCGTCGAGCAATAAAATGCAATTTAATTTCGATGTAAAACGAGAGACACGATACGCGGTAAAACCGATGCAAAACATTAATGAAAATGTCGCTATGGATATGTATCCATAAAATGTCCCCTCGTCGTGTTCTTTATTTATTTACATTTCACTTTGTGTGAGTATCGATTACGCGGCATACTGTATAAAGAAACTATCACTTCGGAATTTGCTCTCAACGCTTATTGAAATCGCTTTACAGGTACAATGTATGTAAATAGAGATGAATTGATTTATTAAATAAACAACAGATATTTCTACAGATATATTTTTTATATTGAAGTAGCTTTAAAAAAAAACGCAAATCCAAGACACGTACTCGTATTTGAATTTTAGAATATCACTATTTAAATGTTATATTGCGTTCAAAAACTCTTGTAAAAAATGATGCAGATTTGCAAGTTTGACTTATTGAAATATTTTTAAATTGAAGAAGGCTTTATTGCAATTCATATAATTCATAAAATTGTAATAAAAAATCGTTAAATTAAAAGCAAGAAAATTAAAATTTTTAACACGCTACAATAGAAAAAGTGTATAATAAAAAATAAGAAACGTATATAAATTAGTACCCTTCTTTCTATCTCTCTCTATAGAAATGCAAAATAGAAAAACCAGTCCCGCAGAATACCGGAAATTATTACAAAACATTCTGCCTCGTTGCGAATTTTCCGCGACGCGCAATTCCAAATTGGAGCATGATCCTTTTCTACACGTTCGGCGAAGAGAACTTCCCTCTTTGAATACAACGCGACGCGACGCCCGTGATGCGCCCGTGCAAGTTTCGCGCGGTGGCTTTTACCGCGCCGCAAACAACCATTTTCATTTAGCTTTTCCGCGGTGCTAAGTGAATTTTGCCGGACGCCTTTCTTCCGTTCTCTTCATATATACATTCGAGCCCGTGAGTTCCGTTATGAAGTCCGGCTGAATCTAATCCCTGCTTTTCATAAAATCCGTCGGCCGAACTTGCGCTCGCGCGCGCGCGCAAAAAAGTAGAGAAAGGGGAACGCGCGTGTATCGCGGCCGCGTAATTCCGAAGGAAAAATGCCGCACGTTAATTATCACCGTTGGCGGAAAAATATTTTCTCGCGGTTATTACGTCGCAATAATGGAGCGTTCTCGTTCGTATTATTAGAGTCCTGCGTGCGCGAGGGGCGTATGGCATGTATTTGGCGAAGAGTGGGTTACAAGTACGCGTGTAGATAGATGCGATGTAAATGCCGAGTGTGCTCGATGGTTTTGTGTGCTCTGGTAGAGCAAGTTCAACATCGCCACGAGCGATGTTTAACCGAAAATGTAATGCGTGTTCCGGATTTTCGTAAAATTCTGTTAAATGTAGAAATTTTCGTCCTTAAACACAGGATGTCCTGCCGCGCGGATATTTCACACCGGTTACCGATTAGTTTGGCAAATGCAAAGTGAACTCTTATCGATGGGAATGTCAATGAAAACAATATTTTTTCAACGTCGTATTTTTATTGAACATTTCCTGTGTTGAAATTAAATGCCCTTAAGCTACATTCTTCAGGAAATTAAAAACCACTTGAAATAACGACGGAGCAACGTTTCGTTATCGGATGCGCTCCGATTATATTATATTTCGTATAATTATGTAGAAGCAAATATCCTGATTTGCAAATTTGCTGCAAATTGATAAATATTGTTTATCAAATAAATCAACACACCTGAAACTTCGAAGAGCCGCTAATGAGAAAATGGAGAAATATTATCAGTACCGTTTAGTTTAGAAAATCTGTATGCTAAATGTTAGATCAATATTCTGCAAAGCCAAATGTCACGAACCTAGAATCACTCATAATCCCTCTTTCTGTTATTCTTTTTGTTGTTATAAAGTCGTACGTTACATATGAGAACAATTGAGAATTATGACGAGTTATCTCATTCACGTGTAGCCGTTATTACCGCCACTCCCGATACTAATCATCACTCCTTTATGACGGATTCCGCCGTCCTCATTTCCCGCTTCGCCTCCGCTCAAAAAGAGCCTTTCTGCATCGCGCACAACTCGATATGCACTTCAATTACATGCGCGGCGCATCTCGC